AATCATAGATACATTCATCCACACTTTATCCACACCAATCACTCACAATTACGCTAAGAAGATGCATGATAACATATAATTCAGAACAACTAACAGACAAATACCCAGCCACCAGCACAATAGTTATAAATCGATTCAAATTATTAGAAACACACGAAACACACACATCTCATCACATCCAAAACACATTCAACGTAAGCACATCCCATCATAAAACACCCACATACATTACGTACTCGACAACTCAATTATATAATTAAAACGTAAATAAAAAAACAGCATAAAACAAATGAATGTTCCGTTATCGATAAGCTACATTCATAAACAACAAAAGCAACATGCAACATACTATTCACAACTTCAATTAATCTTCAAAACAGGTGTGTTTTCAATTCTCTCCTAAACTGCAACAGTACAGGACATCCCTAGTCGACGAATGACGCATGGAAGACTGTTCCATATTTTCGTACCACATACAGCAAAGTTACGAGACCCAATCTTCAATTTTGACACCCGATCTGTCAAGTAATTCTGATCGTTTGATCTCAAGACAAAATTCTGATCAGTCATATCTTTGAGTGTAAACATCTCCGTCAGATATCGTGGTGCCAAACCATTTAAACACTTGAACATTAATAAGCAAATTTTAAAAACAATCCTCTTTTCAATTACCAACCAGTGCAAATCCTTAATCAATGGAGTCACGTGATCATACTTTCGTCCACCCATTACTACTTTAGCTGCTCTATTCTGTACAGATTGCAACAGTGCAATTTCATTCGCTAAAACACCATACAGTAGGCTGTTGCAGTAGTCCAAACGTGAGGTGGACAAATGAATGAACTAATGCCATCAAAGCGGGCTTGCTGACGAATCTCTTAATGCGCTGCAACTGACGTAGATGAAAACAACATGACTTTACGACACCCCGTATATGATCCTGCATGGTCAGATTAGCATCAAGTGTGAAGCCCAGAATTGTGGATGATCTTTCAAATTTAACAATGGTATCATCCATTTCTAATACATCTCGATTTATTTTTGATGTCTGCTGCCATGTACCAATTGGCACTAACTTGGTTTTATCTTTGTTCAATTTTATTCCATTTTGTGACATCCAAATATTTACTGCAGCCAACGCATCTTTCAGTCCTTCAGCTAAATCATCAAACTTTTCAACAGGAGCACATGACACTAATTGAATATCATCTGCATACGCATAACACTCCATCTTATGATTCTCCATCATGTCAAACACATCAGCAGTATACAACAAGAAGAGAAATGGCCCCAACACCGATCCCTGAGGGACGCCAGTTAACATTTTTTCTTCATCCGAATATTCATTACCAAATAATATCCGCTGTGATCTGTCATTTAAGTACGACTTGAAAAATCTTAGCACAGTGCCTGAAATTCCATAGCTTGCCGACATTCTTTGAACAAGTATATTGTACTCCACACAATCAAAGGCAGCACTCATATCAAGTAAAGCTAACAATGTCACTTGCTTTGAATCTGATGCCTGAAATAACGTTGGCAACAGCTTTAACAGTGCCGTTTCCGTAGAGTGGAATCTTCTGTACCCCGACTGAAAGCACGGAAGAAGATTATTTTCATCCAAGTATTGCAGAAGCTGTCTTGTAACCACCTTTTCAACAATCTTTGCTATAAACGACAAATTTGACATAGGACGAAAACTCTTCAACTCATTTGCATCGGACGATGGTTGCTTCAATAGCGGTGTAACAATTGCTTTTTTAAAAATCATTGGATAACTTCCAGTTTTCAAACACATATTGATCAAATCCGTCAAGTACGGCAAAAACAGTTCAATGTGTTTTTTGAAAAGACTCGTCAGGATGGGATCTAGCATACATGTTGTCGGAGGGGCTTTCAAAATAACTGCCTTAACATCATCACTTGAGCACTCCAAAAAATTCGAGAATACTTGATGTTCTTTAACCTTACAACTGAAAGAAGGTACGCCATGCCCTGTTATGGTTTTTTTTAATGTTTTCAATCTTTTTCCTGAAAAACTCTGCAAATTCACTGGCAGTAATTTTATTGTTTGCTACATCAACCGTGTTAGTTTTTTTGTTACATAAAACCTTGTTTAAAACTCGCCATAACTGTTTAGGGTTGTTAGCGTTAGTGTTAACTAAATTGTTCCAATATTATTCTCTTTTTTTTGCAAAATGCTCTTGTTTCATATTCATTAGGCCAATCCAGTTCTGCCTATTAACCATGCATTTATTTTTCCTGTATTTGCGTTCATACCTTCGACAATCACGTTTAATTCCTCTACAGTCACTATCAAACCATGGTGCAGTTGGAACCATTCTTGTTTCAA